GACACTTTATTTAGAGCGTGTGACTTATATTTCACCAGATTTTGGGGAGTTGTATGCATTGCGTTTATAGATTCTATTTATGAAATTGTTGGAGTTTTGAGATTCTAAGTTTTATTTAATGTTTCAGCATATTGCTAGGCTTACCCAGTCTTAGAGACTATGTGCCATCACGACATTCTACGGAGAGAATTTGGGATCGTGACATTCAAAAAATCAAAAATCAATCAAGGACCCTTCCCCGGTTCAATCACATTTTAAAAAAAATCAAAAATCAATCAAGGACCCTTCTCGGGCTCGATCTTATTTTTCAAAAACCAAAAATACTCTCATCGTGCGGAGATTTTCAATTCATGTCTCTCCCATCGTGTGGATATTTTACATTTCAGCCACTCCCATCGTATGGAGACTAGTTCAAATTTTACTTTTTTGTCCATGCTCCGATATCGCATCGGAACGGTACTACAGCCCATCGAATCCTCCCATCGTGTGGAGACTGATTCATATTTTACTTTCCTGTCCATGCTCTGATATCGCATCGAAATGGTACTACAGCCCATCGAATCCTCCCATAGCGTGGAGACTGATTCAAATTTTACTTTCATGTTCTTGCTCCGATATCACATCGGAACGGTACTACATCCCTTCGAATCCCCCCATCGCGTGGAGACTGATTCAAATTTTACATTCCTGTCAATGCTCTGATATCGCTTCGGAAAGGTACTACAGCTCATTGAATCGTCCCATCACGTGGAGACTGATTCAAATTTTACATTCCTGTCAATGCTCCGATATCGCTTCGGAACGGTAACTACAAAGCCCATCATTTTACTTTTTTGTCAATGCTCTGATATCACATCGAAAAGGTAATAAAGCCCGTCTAGCATTCAATGCTCCAATATCGCTTCGGAACGGTAACCCCAAAGCCCGTTTTATATTTAATTCTCTTTATCAAACATCCCAAAAATTAATTAATTCAAAAAAATAAAATTAAATGAGAATCTAAAAAATATTTTCTTTCTATCTTCCTGAACTAAGCTTGACCTGATTCTCATTTCAAGGAGATATGTAGGCAACCTTCGTGTTCGGTTTCATTTTTCAAAAAAGAAAAAAAATCAAAAATCAAGCAAGGACCTCTCTTGGGTTCGATTCTATTTATCATAAATCACCAAAAATTTATTAAGTCAAAATCTAAAATCCATTCAAAAAGGGAAACTCATCCTCAAATTTGGTCCCGTTTACCAAAAATAAAATTAAAAAAGAGAAGAAAGAAAAGAAAAGAAAAAAAAGTCATCGAAATTTTACTTGGTTGGTGCCAACACAGTTAGGAGTGTGCATGGGAAACAACAAGTGTTAATTGGTATGATGGAGATGATCAACTTCGGGTAAACCATAAACTCTTGTGGTACCTCTCAATTATTCCTTAGCGACACTTGAAAAAAATCTCCTGCTTACAATTAGGGTAAGAACAATGCCGACCTCATCGATTCATGTGCATTATATGGTGAGCCTAGATTAAAATTCATTGCATTGCATTATAGATATAGAACTTGGCCCGAATGTCTATTGAGGCGAAATACTGAGTAACGCTTGGTTCGGACGAAGACCAAAGTGGAGGCGACAAGCATGAAAAGCGAAAGATGCAAAGTCCAAGTCAATCAGAGATGCGACTTAAAAAAACAAGAAGTGAGGACTCCACAAATTCAAAAGGAGGATCTCAACAAAAGGAGGAACTTTCGCAAAATCGAGGAAAATCCAACAAAAGGGAGAAAACTCCACAGATTCAAAAAAGAGGAACTCCAACAAAAAAGAAGTGAAAACTCCTGCAAAGCAGGAGAAACTTCTAAAAGAAAAAAAAAAGAAAAATCTCTTGAAAAGGGAAAAGAACTTCCAACAAGAAGACATGTTCAAAATAAGTCAAACAATAGAAAGGGATATCGAGCCAAAAAAGACAGAACGCTAAAGCATGGTTTGAACACCGAAGGCACGGATACAGTGCAGAGCTCGAGGAGGGATTAGTCACTCTTTATCCAAAATAATTATCCTACCCATCCCAAAGCCTACATTACAAGCCAATAATAAGCCCTACATGATTCTATTTCAAGTGTTCTCACATTAGTGGATACTCACATAAAGGCCAAGAATATGGTATCTCAATTGCATGCATCGAATGTCATTCTGAGCGTGAGTGTGCTTCACAATATGTCCTAAAGATAAAATACAAAAAATACTTCAAATATATGTGCATATTAAGACTTCATTGTGGTGAGGGCACTTGAAAAATGAGATAGGTAGAAATCACAACCTTTGATTGAAGCGAGACGAACAAATCTTGTCGATACTTAGGTATACATGAGGTACCACTCGAAGCTATAAAATTACCCATAAACTGATCTAGGTTTGCTGGAAAGTATATGGTGAAAATTCTTATGCATAAAACTAATTGTTGGTACCAACCAAAGTCAAGTCAAAAATGATTGATCAATAAAATCGCAATCTTTCTTTACAACACTCCCTGCAAAAAGCTACAAAATAGAAAAAATACAGAAAATAAAAAGAGTCAAGTCTTGTTGACGACAAAGTCAGATTTTGTTGTAACAGAACTACGCCCGACCTGACTTCCCACGGGGGGATACGTAGGCAACCCACGTAGGGTTCGGTCCCACCCTTATAATAAAAAATCAAAAATCATTTCTATATATATTCGGAACTACGCCGTGACTTTATTTCCTTCGGTAGGATATGTAGGCAATCAACATCGGATTCAGTCATCTATCATAATCAAACTACATTTTGGCCTTATGCTATTTGGATACGTAGGCAGTCTAAGTTAGACCCGGCCATATCATTTCAAAATTCTACCATTTTGCATCTATTAGCTACCTGAGTCATTAATAGCAGAACCCTCTTCATCAATTTTCCTAAAAACAATATAGCTTCTTGCTTTCCCAGGAGCCCTCTTGAACAATGGGCAATTCATTTCAAGTTCAAATTTTACAGGCGCCCACCTTCAAATACAGGTATTTAAGATTTCAAATGTTTCGATATCACTTCGGACCGATACACAACCCAGATTTACTTTTTATATACAAGTGCTCCGATATCATTTCAGACTAGTACACAACCCGAATGTTCCTTTCTACAATCAAATGCTTCGATATCGCTTCGGATCGGCATACAGCCCAGATTTCCTTTTTACATTCAAGTACTCTGATATCTCTTCGGACCGACATACATCCCGGATTTTCTTTAATAATCCAAAGTGCTCCGATCACTTCTGGCCGGTGTCTAGCCCGGATCTCTTACGAATTAGAGTTCCAACCTAGGACTCTATTTCATTCAAAAAGGAAAAAATTGCATCACTCTCACATCGCATCAACAATCATCACTCAAGCCACTACAATCCATCTTCCTCAAATCAAACGGAATCATAATCCACACCTCGTCAACTCTGCTGATCACAGAGGCGACACAACGTGGAATTATCTTCAAGCAAATAAACTGGAGCAGATTTTGAGCACGGACGTCGAGCTTTCCAACAGCAATCAACAACATATCCCAAGTATCGTTCTTATGTCCTATTGACATGGGGTGTGTAGGTAATCCGAACCCCCATAGACAAAATAAAACACCCAGTGTTATCACAGCCTAATGCTGGGGTAATTTTCGAATCAAACAATCAAAATCAAATCATCCATCGCTTCTCGAACTACAACCGGCCTGATTCTCGTTTCATCCTAGATAAGTAGGAAAACTCAACACAGAGCCCGACCGCATACACATCAAAATCCACCCAATCAATCCATCCACTATCCAACATCTACGTCCTAGTGTTACCACATTCCGACACTAGGGCAATCTTGGAAGCAATGTCGGGATCACACAAACCTTTTCGTCCTCGAACATTTGCCTTACACTCCATGAGGCTACGATTCATAAGTAGCACTCAGTTGTATTCGAGAACTACACGCGACCTGACTCTCATGCAACCCGAGATATGTAGGCAACTCAAATACCAGAGTTCGGTCACAACCTTCAAAACCTCCTCATCCCCACTATGTCATGTTGGGTCAAAATTGAGTATTGTGTCAATTTCTTTACCCGAAGACTCTTGCATCATCTCCGGTCAAAGAGGAGCAGCTGTTGAAACTCAATTTTGACCCTCCGTATTTAAAAATTAACTTATGCATGCTTTCTAGTCTAAAAAAATAATAAAATGCAGTATTTTACACATTATTTAGCTCTTATACAATATATTGATAATTATTTTTATTTTTACAAAAATATAGGAATTTTTATCATTTTATATTTTTGTGTATTTTTCTAAATTTCAAATAATTTATTGATAATTGTCCAATTTTTCAAATATTAGGATATTCTATCAAATTATTGTCATTTAAAAAATAAAATAATTATTACAACACAATTGTAGTAGTTACATTTTACATAAATACTACTCCCTCCGTTTCAATTTATGTGAACTTATTTGACTGGGTACGGAATTTAAGAAAAGAGAGATGACTTTTGAACTTGTGGTGTAAAATAATGCACATATATTTTGTGTGACTATAAATCATTGCATAAAGGTAAATTATTTTCAAAAAAAGAAAAATGTCATTCTTTTTGGCACGGACTAAAAAAGAAATAGATTCACATAAATTAAAACGAAAAGTATGAGATTTTCAAATCAAATAATCATATATTAATTCGTAGCAGAGTTTATTTAATTACATGAAAATCAACAGAGTTTACTTTAAAATACAAATTCAGTCCGGTCAAATTTAATGTCCCGTCAGCATCCAATGTGACATTTTAATGTTTGACATTTGATCTGACCAAACAGGCGATGTGATAAATCATACATGACATCTTTTACATATTAACTATTTTCTTTTATGTTTAACTTTATTCCAAATAAAAGGAGCACCACACATTTTAAATTTGTGTATTTTACTTCTATATTTTTTTGTCTTCCAAAATTTATTATATAAAATCCCCAAAACCCCAAATAATCTCTCAACCCCTTCATTTTAACTCCACAGTCGCCTCCCATCGTTTGAGACTCTCTCATCTCTCACTTTGAGAGAGACACGGCAGCCACCCCATTTCCCCCATTTTCGTCGCCGCCGGCCAGCCACCAGCAGCCTTGGCTAGCGCCTCCCCCTCTTCTCTTTTATCTCTCTTCGCCGGAACACCACCAAAGCTATGATCTGAAAATAGGACACCTATCGAAATTTCACTTCTGGCCGGAGAAGCTTCATGTCTTATCTGAAATGCTAAGGCCGGCATTCTTTCCATGAGGCAAACCGATATCTGAGAATTTTATGGCCAGAAATCTGACTTTCCGGCGACCTCTGGTGCTGCTCTTTTACTGTTCACTGCAACCCGTTCTCTTGGTTTTGGACGGAAATACAGATTCCGGCGACGTTCCTTGAAGTTGAGCGTTATTCCGGCGTCCGCCGTCGAAGTAACGCCACTGCTGTTCATTTGGCCGGAATATTTTCTGGCGACCTCCCTTAACGCCAACGACTGTCCTTTTGCTTGTGTATTTCTTCGCTTATCATTTTTTCTTTGCTACAGGTTAACAGATCTAAACCAATAAAGGTTATTTGCCTAGAGATTGGCCAAAACTTTGGCGTTGTTTCCCTGCCGGTAATTTCTTCCGACGTCTCTGTTGCCTCGCTTGGGTACTGTTCTCCGGCGTTTGTCGTCGATTGTGGAACTTTGCCGATGAATGTTCATAGATAATTTTTGGGGTCTTTGTTTATTCTGGCCAACTTCTATCTCCACGTATTATGCTATATCATTATTATCACATTTGGTTCTACAAGTTTGGGTTAATTTACGCTTGACTGGAACTATTGAATTGTTTCTTGCTAATTAGTTTGTGCAGATTTCACGTCTGAATTGTTGTTGATTTCCCGCACTGTTGGACCTAAGGCTTGGGCTGATGAGAAAATAACCTTCGAGTTATTCAACGCCCCGAATGACCGTCCGGGTTGGGCCCTATAATAATGAGGCGATGATAAACATCGAAAAAGAAAAAGACGAGAATTCGAATCAATAACCTATGGAGGGCGACACGGTTGGCAGACGGTGTCTCAACCGAGGCGGTGAGCCTACTATATTATTTTAAACTATTTTTCAAAAATAATTTCCCAAAAACATTTTCGAACTATTTTCACAAACAATCTTTCAAAAAAAAAACATTTTCGAATCTTTTTCGGAAAAATTTCAAAAAATCATTTTAAAAACATGTCATTTGATTCATTTTTACTTTATGTTATTTTATTAATAATTTTACTTTCTTATCTTGCGAGGTACTACTATACGGAGTTGTTTTTGGAAGACGACACTCGAAGATAGAAAGACAAATTTTCGTCAAACTCCCCGCTTCGAATTTCCTATTCTAGGATGTATCCAAAATCACAAGTATAGTGAAATCGCAGATAAATGTCGTATTATTTGTTTACTTTGATCTTTATCTGTTTGTTAAACACTTAAACACTTAGGGTGTGTTACATCTAGCTAATAATCCGCCAACCTACAACATTGTGTGTTAAATAATTCTTGCAAGGTTGTCTATACAAAATCTAGAATGTCAAATATATATTTTATAATTTAGTCGATTAATTAGGATTAGTGTACACATACTTAATTGAATTGGTTGCATACATAAATGAAAGGCATGTCGTCTCCTTTTCAAAAATAGGAGTTTTACCTTTGTTTACAACTACATAAGCATTTTTTTAACGAATCTCTTTGTAAATTATTTTTGACTATTTTACATCAAGTAAACATAACTTGTAAAAATCATAATTGAGTCTACCATATTTAGGATTAATTCAATTGCTAAATCCATTTGGGCCTAATCTGATAATTGCCAACATTCTCCATGAGTTATTGTTTTAAAGGCTATTCTTGTACAAAGTTTATAATATTCTTAGCCTCTTTGTATATTTATTTGATTGTCTATATATGTATTTTATTAGTATTTATTTATTTATTCAATTCTTTTAAAACAAACTAAGGTCTTTCTTATATGGTCTTAATTTTCTTTTGCCATAAAATATTAATATTCCTTTATACTTGTAAATCTTGACAAACCTTTTTACGCTTTATTTTTTTACACATCTAGTCAAGTATTTTAGTGAATTACAAAAACACTTATTCACTTTAGAAGATAATTCTTTCCATTGTTTACTCATTTTCGACAGATTTTCTTGTACATTTAAGACAATCCGTTGTAGTAATCATTTGGCTTTAATCATAAATAAATTTTCATAAATTTATTCAAACTCTTTTTTAGAATACCTCAATTGTTGATATACATTCCTTATTTGATTTAATCGCTCCATTATCACATGTGAGATTATATGTGGATAATTTATTTCTTATACTTCCCTATCTATGACAACTCCTGTTACTTTATTTGGTCAATTCTTTTAAGTTAATTGATAGTTATTTATTCAAAGATAACTATTTACCATTTATTATATGTATTCAATTAATATTAATCTTGCATAATTAAATCACTCGGCTTTAATTATAAATTGAAGTTACCTTTATACTTTATTTCAACCCAATTCTTTCAATCAAACTCCAAAAAGATTTTTATCTATTTACTTACTTTGCATATCCTATTGTATATATTTTACCACAAATAAAATAGTCATGCTTTGAATATATATTCACTATGTGACAACTGTATTGACTATTCTTTGATAGAAATTCTTTGTGACGTAGTTAATCATTCTTTGAACCTTCCCTCCTTTATTTGATCGAGTTTGCCGGAATCACATTTTGTGGATCTTGAGGGATGTCTAACATCTTCCTCTCGAGATAACTTGAGCCCTTACCTAGAATCTCAACTGGTTTCGCAGTCTATAATTTAGTGTACATTGTGTAGTGTAGTACAGGTGTCCTAGTATACCTTAAATACTAGGTGGCGACTCTAAAACTCCATTCAACCTTGTAGAGTACTATAAGTTGTAGTTTGTTTTGTCTTGTGCAAAATAGGGTACAACAATTATGATCTCTCTCCTTGACACAAGCACTGCTTGAGGTCCGAGACCCTCGTGAACTCTGAAGTGCTAAGTGCTCAAAAGGGGGATTATATCCATAAATGAGGATTTACACCAAGCTTTTAGTCACTAACTCTTATTAATCCTCATAGGATTAGCGTAAATAAAATATGCCTCACAACATTCTCTAGCTCTTTATTACCATTTGTATAATCATTATCTTACATAGCTTTGCAATTGTTATACATTATTTATTATCTTTTCTTTTTACGCATGAACTCAATTTGGGCCGGTGAGCCCATTTGGAGCTCAAGTCCACTTTCAGATCTAGGTCATCGCATTCCTGTCGAGTCCGCTATTCGTGCACATTGTGTTGGGCCTGAACATTTGCCGGCCCATAGCAAGAGTCCAGTTCTCCTTTCCCTTTTCTTTAATTACATTTGTTATTTTGTACTGCCTCTCTCTCTCTCTCTCTCTCTCT